TCAGAGTGGAGAGGGGGCGGGGCGCTGCCACAGGGCTGGGTTGGGGGCACAAGGTGGAAGTTTCGCCTAGGGTGTGAAACTTCCTTGCACCGGTCCTGTTTACAGGCACCTGAACAGTTGTCAGAGAAGTATTTTCAGTTCATGTGTTTAATTGAATGCCGTGAAATCTGTCTTCAAGCACCACTTAAGGGATGCTCAAAAGTCAGTTGTTAAGCAAGCAGGTTCTATAATTAAATGACTTGGGCCCAGATCCTCAAAGCGATTTAGGCATCTAAATTGAAATCAGTGGGAGTTAAGCACCTCTGTACCTTTGAGGATCTGGGCCTAGGTCACTTTTTGAAAATAAGATTTGGGCTCCCAAGTCATGTAAGCACTTTAACATTTTACCCAATGTCTTTCTTTTGCTCTTAGGTGTGGAATGAGTTATTGGTCTTCGCACAAAGAAGGGGCCTAATAAATCATAAGATCTAATCCTGGCGCTGACACTGACCCAGCCCAGGGATCACTTAGACCCACATTTTCAAAAGTGGGCTCTGATTTTGAGTGCCAATTTGAGACACTGTGGGCTTAGTTTTCAGAGGTGCTGGAGTTGTAGGGGCTCAGCGCCTCTCAACAGCAGGCCCCAGGTGTCTCAAATTGAACACCCAGAAAAAGAGGCACCCAGAATGACAGGCCACTTTTGGAAATGTTGGTCGTCATCTTTTTGCTTCAGGTTGCCCTCGCTATAACGTGGGAATAGCACTTATCTGCAGGTGTTGCAAAGGTCGTAGGTCACAGCAGGTGTTGTGAAGCTTAGTTAATGTTTGCAAAAGTGCACAGTGGGCCAGATCCAAAGCCCATTGAAATCAATGGGAGCCTTTCACATGGACTTCAATGGGCTTTGGCTTAGGCCCTGTAAATGCTAAGTATTATTATTCAGTCCTGCTGGTGCAGTGAGGTTCTGGAGCTGGAAATCCATGCTCCTTCATCATTTAAAATATTCTAACAGAAGTAAAAACTAAGTTCCCTACATGGAATTCCCACTGGTGTTAATGAGCATTCTGTGAAAGGCATGAAGCTATGTGGTGCATCAACAGAACACACGATGGATCGACTTTGCACAGTGTGCATTTCCGCTGGTAATAGATAATTGCTCAGAAATCATCCAAGCCTCACCTGCTTTTCTTGTGAGAGAAGAAGAAGTCAGCAATGGAAATTAACAATGTATTTGCTGCATCGTCTGTTCACACAGCAATAACATGAAGATGAAAATCCGTACAGACAGATCATGAAAAGCAAGGGTTAAACTTCATATACTTTGCCACAACTGACTACAGATCTATAATATTAGTAAAAAAAAAATGCACAGTTGTGCCAAAGGGAGTAAGGTGCCCAACTCCCCATATGGTCCTTTGAAACGCCTAGATTTATGCTTAATGAATTTATTATTCTTAATAATAACTTACATTTGGACAGTGACTTTCTGCTCAAAAGATTGTGAAGCACTTTACAAAATATTTCAAGATTCTTTCGTAGAGCAAAAGATTTTTCTCTCAGAGCAGTTACTGCTCTCACTAATGTTGGTGTCAGCTTGGAGTAACTCCACTGATACACTCTAGTGCAAGTAAGCACAGATTCTCACTCTCTGTCTCAGTCTCTCCTCTCTCTCTATATATAAGTACTCTGTTCACCATTAAAATGCATCCCCCTTTTGGATTGGAATCAGTAACTGCTTAACAGAGTATGACAATATTACACATCAGTTTAGAACTAAGAAGTGATTGGCTGAAGCCCTGGAGGTTTTTCGCCTTCCTCCACAGCATGGGGCAGGGATCGCTAGCCGGAGGGTTCTCTGCCAATCGAAGTCACTAAAACACAGGATTTGGGGACTTCAACAGCAGAGTCAAGGGAAGGGGTAGGGACGGTTTTGTGGCCTGCAGCATGCAGGGGGTCAGACCAGATGATCATAATGGTCCCTTCTGACCTTAAAGTCTATGAGTCTATGAGGTTGAATATACAGGGGCAATTTACTTACATGCCTTGGTGTTTGGCCAGGAAATAGCACCTGCCTCTTGTGCAAAGTACCACAGGATCTTTAATTATCTTGAGTGGTCAGGATCTCTATTCAAACGATGGATTTCCCTGGTCTCTCACAATTGTAGCAACCACTTTTACATCAGTGTAACTCCATTGATTTCAGTGGAGTTATTCCTGAGTTGTGCCAGCATAGGTGAAAATAGAATTAGGCTCCATCATGGTCTTCCGGTGTAGCTTTTGGAATAACTTTTAGTAAACTGTTGTGTATGTCAGTAATTACCACAATTATATCAAATTACATAATTGTTACTTAACCACTCTAACATGCCATATTTTAAAATCTTTGTGAAACATGAGCTGTAGCCTGTTTTTTTTTCAGTATCAAATCTAAAGCCTGATCACATGCACAGAACTTCCTGTTGTCTTCAATAGAAGGTCCGTGTGCAGAGGGCTTGCAGGCTCAGTCTTACATATTTCTTATTTCACTCTGGTTTCGCCACTTCTATCCAGCAAGGACCTTCTTTGAATGTACCCAGTTGTCACTGGGCTTCCCTTTGCAAAGTGATGAGCTAAAGTTTTACGGTGTCATGGCAAACGCAAGCAGCAGCAGTGGCTGAGAACTCTGTAGTGCCATCAAAATCCTGTGTTTTGTTGTCTATATTTCCTCCACCACTCAAAATGTAAAGGCAAAACATCGATCCGATTCATAGACTAAGGCTAAATCTCCACTGGAATTGGAGTTGTGCTAGCCGCTCTGGTAGCTGTGCTAGCTTTACTCTAGCTGGCACAGCTGAAAATAACAGTAGAGATGCAGTGGCACGGGCCCCAGTGTGGGCTGTACAATGGGAGTTAGGCACCTAAATACTTTCCATGGTCTGGGCCCTAGTGACTGGTGGTAGGAGTGTGTGCTTTGTAGTTGTAGGGTTCAATCCTGCAACGAGCTCAGTGGGGGTACAGGGGCCTACCCATGCAGGATTAGGGCACTGCTGTTATTATGAAGTATTTGTATCATGGTAGTGCCAACAGGGTCCAACGGCGATCAGGGCCCCATTGTGCTAGGCACTGCACATACACATGGTAAGAGACCATCCCTGCCCTGAAATCTTTACAATCTAAATACATAAACACAGGCGACAGGTAGAATGGGAAACTGGTGCACAGAGAGGCGATGTGACTTCCTTTGGCTCACACGGGCTAGCAGAAGATCTGGGACAACAGCCCAGAGCTTCAAAGTCTCAGTCCCGTTCCATGTGGCCTGGAGCATGCTGCGTCTCCCAAGTAAGGGCTCACTCCTGCAAGGCGCTGAGCACCTCGTGGAAGTTCAGGTTGCTTCATACCTTGCAGAATCCAGCCCCAATT